CATCCATCCATTCATTCATCCATTCATCCATAACTAAACCTAATGTAACATTACAAACAGTACAACTAAACCAATACATACACTCTTTTCAAATGTAGATTTTAACGACTCATAATCTGTAAAAGTAAGATTTCCACCATTTTCTTCTGCCCTTTCGATTACAAGTTCTGTAGATATAGAAAAATAAAAATAAAAAACTTGAATAAATCCCACAAAAAATCTGTTTTTTTACCTAACAATTTGTAACATTTAAAATAAATAAAATTTTTAATTATTTTTAGATTATATTTATTCATATATCCATTATTTTTAGATATATCATTTTTATATATTTATCTTGTATACTAAAGCTCTATTAGATAGGTAATGATTTTTAAGCTATATTTTAATCATATCGTATATTGATATATACTTGATCTTTACTTATTTACTTACTGTAATGTGCAATAGAAAATCTCAGTATTGATTATCGCACACTATAAGTTGAATAAATTATTATCATTATTATTATTATTATTATACATTAGGAACTGTTCATTATTTAGCTGGGGGAGGGGGCTGGGTGAGAAAAGGCAGGGCCTTGAAAATTTTTTATGTACAAAAGGAGGGACCTTGGAATTTTTTTATGGATTTAAGGGAAGGGACTTGAAATTTCAGGTGAAGGTCTAAATATAGTGAAGGGAGGTCYTGAAAAAGATGGGCGCCTTTTCCAATTTCTCACCCAGCCCCCTCCACCAGTTAAATAATGAACGGTCCCTTAATAAAAGTGGTCACACATTTGTTAAAGATAAAACTGAGTAAAGCTATTTACCATTGATATTCTTTATTTGGAGTACAGGAAAGATGACAAATTTAGCGAAAGCTAAAACTCCGTTTTCGGTTACATTGCCTTCTTCACAGAAAGCTTTTTTAACCTTCTTCTTGACAGTAGAACTGCTATCAAGCAGGTCAATCTTTGAATCCTGGTTAAAGAAACAAAGTTATCACCTAATAATAATCACGCACATGTTATAGCATCTTAAATATATTAAACACTATGCTCTTCTTAAAGTCAACCGTAAGAGGTACACGCAGATGGTTTGTGCCAACAATTTGATGTCTATCACCAATGAGACCTGGAACTAATTTTTATGCTCAGTGTCATGCRTAGAGCTGGTTGCTGGTTCTCTCTTGTGCTTCAAGGGTTTTCTCAACTGAAGGTATTTTCTCGCTCAACCAAAATTATTTTCTAAAATAAATTTCATCAGGCTTGAAAACTTAAACATAAGCCTCTGGCTTAGAAGACTGAGCAAAATCTCCTCACTTAATATCAACAAAAAATCGCTTCCCCTTTTCCTTCCCCTCACTGTAAGGCAAAGTCTCTCCCAGTTGAAAAAGAAAGAATTAGAAAAGACATTGTTACCTCATCTGATGCACTCATTTTACCTCCCGTTAGACCAGGTACTAAAAATCAATAAAATACATTAAAAGATTTAACAAAATACTTTAAAATGATACTGATTCCCCCCCCCCCCCTCTCTACTGCTATCCATATCTAGCTGCCCTGTTACCTCTCTCTGCCCCTCTTTCTCTCTCTGTTCCTGTTCCTCTCCCTCTCATTCTCCCTTTCCCTCTCCCTCTCTCTGCTCCTCTCCCTCGACATCTCTGCCCCATCTCTCTCCCTCTTGATTTCCCTAACTCCCTCTTTATCTCCCCTTTGCCTAACAATCCTCTGTTGTTATACCAAGTATTGCAAAACATACCCATTGGGTTCATCAGATGTATTCTTTTCTTGTATCCAAGAGTAGGGAGGTACTAGAAACATTAGAAAAAACAGTTGCAGAATGCAGCTCAATTTGGAGGACATAATAATAATATTAAGGTTCCCAATTCTCAGGAGTTTGAAATTCTTTTGTTTTGTGCCCCAAATTGAGCTGCTTTGATGTCACATGCAAGGGGTCTATACCACAGTAGAATCTAACAAATCATTCAGCTTTGGCAGCTTTTCCCCCCAAAATAACTTTACCAACCTTCTCAGCAAATGTGAAGATTTTCCTCTGGTCAACTCCTCCAAACTGTGCATCTACTCCAAGATGTTCTTCATCCAAAGCCTTTGAATAATAAATTTGAATTATTGTGTTATTCTTTATCTATTGAATATCATCAATCATCATCATCATCATCACCACCACTACTAGGATCTTCATTACTATCATCATCTTAATCACCATTATTATTAACATCATAGCTACAATCAATCACCATTGTCACAATGAGCACCATCATCAGCATCATTATTATCATCATCATTATAATCATTGACATTAACATCACAACTACAAACCATCATTATCAGCACCACTATCATCATCATTATCAACATCATGAAGAAATAGAAAATGCGTGTGCATGTTGTGTGCTGTTATAAAGCACGTGGGGGTTGGCAGAACATGAGAGAAGTATTTGGGGAAGCACAATGCGTAGTGGAGTGCTTCTCTACACTTCTCGAGTGTTCTGCCAATCCCCAAGTGCTTTATTATAGCTCCACACAGCACAGTGAGCAAGCTTTTTATTTATTTATATAAAATACAAGGGTGTGCGCATGCTGTGTTCTCTCATAAAGCATGTGCTCCCAACCAATAAGAATGTGAGATTTATAGCAGTTATTTTATAATGGACATTAATAAACATCCTCATTATTCTTCATCACCAACAAAACCATTATCATCATCAGCACCACCATCATAATAAATTATTATTACGTGTATCATCATCTTGACATTCATCAACATCATCATTATAGCCATCATTATCTTCTATCATCATTGTGTGCTATACCTGAAGACATGGGTACAACAGGCCACTAAGTAACGGATGTTGCACTTGCTTGACAACCTCGGCACCAGCTTTCTTACAGTCATGCTGGAAAATAAAAGTGAAAAATGGGTCAAGGAAAATTTAGGAAAAGTATCTGATAAACCCCAAAATAAAGAAAACATTCGATTTTTATTGACACACAAAACCAACCTCTGGGCTGATCTAAGTCAGGGTATGGCTAACTCACAGATAGAACCCTGAAACAACCTCTGGGCTGATCTAAGTCAGGGTATGGCTAACTCACAGATAGAACCCTGAAACAACCTCTGGGCTGATCCAAGTCAGGGTATGGCTAACTCACAGAT